GAATAACCATTTTTGATACGGTGACAGTCACACTTGAACAGTGACAGTGCTATATATGAATTGAAGTTGGATGACTAGCCGTTCTAGATATGATCTTTTGAGGGGCCACATCAGAGATGACAAAGCCTGATTTCTGGCAGTAACCATTAGCTATAAAGCAGGGATTAATAAGTAATTAATGGAACTGCCAATATATTTATGGCGGAGCTGGAACAATGCTTCAACAGTGTTCTTACGTGTCTGAAACCAAAACTCATACAATTTTCCTCATTAGCAGTATAAACCAGCAGAAGGGCCAGATTCTGAGTCCCATATGCTACCACATTGTGTGTATGTTTGTGTGTTGCTCCTGTCATCTTGCAAAGACAAAAAATAATAAGCTTAGGAAAAGGGAATGTGGAGGAAGATAGGATGATGTATGAGAAAGGAAGAGCGTGATACAATGCAAAGATGATAGCATAGGGAAAGGATTGGAGAAAGATGCCTGGGCCCAACCTCCTTTTCGGGTCCTTAAAAGAAAGACGGTGAAAAAGTTTCATTCTGCTGCAATTCTATGAGCCTCATATATTTTCAGTCATTCCCAATTTTGAAAGCACATAGTTTGGGTGCATTTTATTTATCCAGAAAACACCACAAGACCTACAAAGGTGTCAGGATCCAAGGCATGGTGTGCTTTGTCTTGCAGAGAGTTTCAGGAGAGGTCAAATGGATACTTTGGTCAAGAATCTAGAAGCCGACCAAACACTTTTCCATGGTTAAGCTGTGACTACACTAGCTTAGCTACAACTTCAGTCACAGCCCAATTTATACTTCTGTTTGGATTAGATGATCACATAGACACTGCAAATTGTTTCAGTTCCAGCGTCCTTGTGGACCTTAATTTGATGCAGTTTGATCCACACCACAGCTCCCTTCTTTGATCCTGCACTCTGCTAATCCCTGGCTCTCCTTTTATGATTCATTGTAAAACAAGTAGACTATTCAAAGTGTTGCATAGCACTAAGGAAAAGGGAGTTTTCCAAAGTTCTCTGTAATGTACAAACACATACATGTATACAGAGGAAATGCAGTAGTCTTCTATAGTTGTTGCAGTTGTTCGTCGCGTTCCCGCGTGGCCCTTGGTCATTTCACCAAGCAAAGGCAGATGCTACGTATCGTTCAGCTGCCACCAGTTGATTACCTCAACTTTGTTCACTATTAATGATAGAGGTCCAGGCAATGTATCATTTAAGAACCAAGTACAAATTGTGTATTGTCACAAGTGATAAAAGTCCAGTCATGTTGTTAACTCTCAATTAAACAACCTTCTTTCTCCACTCTCAACCGTCTACTCTCCCTCTCCCTCTCTCTCCTTTTCTTCACCTCCCCACTTAACTCTGCTCCCACCAACTCCTGTTGGTGCATACAAATTTCAACATAAATATTCATGAGCAGGGTGAATTCTACATTGTTCCTGTCTCATACTGGTTTGGGTTTTTTGTGTGTGCAGGAGTGATCTAGTGCTAAACTAGTATATCAACGAAGTGATAAGATCCTCTACCACCAAATTTGGTAGTTTGTTTAAAAAATTAAAAAAAAAACACTTTGAGGAAGAAAGATTATGAGGGATGGGTGTTCCCATTGTCCAAAAGTCACACTGAGCTTAAACATAACAGAAATACCACACATAGTCATATACACTTTTTGTGTGTGTCAGGGAGAACCAAAAAACTGATCACATGGAGCAAAGTCTATTTGAACTGTTCTGGCTTGAAAAAAGTAGAAGCCTCCAGAAGAGAGAGAGAAATCCTGCACATTGAGAGCAAAAAAGGGCCAGACTGGTCTTTGAGCAATGTGATCATTTTAAAAAAGTGAATTCATTTTTTTTACACCTGCAGCAAACCCTGCCAGTTTTGACCATGTAGTCGCAGCCTGAGAATGAAGCCATGTTTCGTTAGCACATTGTTGAGGGAAGAAAATGTTTTCTGTGTGCAGTAAGATGCGGACCAAGGTTTAGAGTCTGTGATTTATTTAACAAGAGTCTTAACCTCACTCGGAAACAGACCATTTACTGGTTCCTTCATCCCTCTTTTTTTTAAAATTTATTTATTTATTTATTTATTTTTAAATCTTTGAAAACTTAATTTGCTGCAAGAACAAAATGAATTGCCTATTGGGTGGCTCTGGGGTTGTAAATAATCTTCAGTTTGAAATTAGAAGGTAAAAAAACATTAAGGTGTCCAGCGCTAGTTTCATTTTTAGAAAAACTGTTATGGAAGGTGGTGATTGAAAAGACAAAAATAGCAGTGGTGGGGAGGGGGCAAATCTCTTCTCTGCCTGTCATTTCCCGAACAATCCCAAGCAGATTTCCCACCTACAGACTTTCATTGGTAGACTGGCAAGGCAGAAAAGGAGTCAAGCACCCTCCACCTCTGCCCTGTCCTCACTTCTCCACTCTTAATAACACTCTTCCAGTTTTTTATAGATGAAAACACTACCCTGCACTACTAAAAAATAGTGTTAAGCCTGATAGTCATGTGTCTACATAATGGCTGAAATCATGTTGCTTAACATAGTAAGTTGCAACTAGAGTAGACACATAGACTCAGCTATGGAAGAGCTGACTCACCAAATCATCATTGAGTCAGTGGATCTACTCTAGGTTTGACTTACTATGCTAAGCAACAGAACTCCAGCAAATGTGTTCTTACACCCTGGCTATATGGAAAAGAGCAAAGTACCTAGAAGGAGCTAATAGCCCCTTATCCTGTTGCGGAATTAAGCAATATGGGTAGTTCTTTCTTACAGAAGGGTGCTATTAATAAGAATCTAATCCATTAAACTTGCCACGTCTCTTGGGAAATTCAGTAAAAAGAAAAGATGAAATGCATTTTCTGTATTTGGTATATGAAAGAGAGGGAGAGAGAAAGAGAAAATTCTGCTGTATTTTTTCTGCTCTGCCCACTTGAGGTATATAAAACCATTACATTTAAGTACCATAATAGCCAACATATGCTTTTCTTTAGAAACGACACCACCATCTGGATTGACTTCTACCAATGATATCAGACAATACTGCAGAATTTTTTCCCTGCCAACTAGGAAAAAAAATCTACCTCAGAGAGCATTTACTGTTTCAGAGGGAGACAAACAGCAATAGAATTAAAAGTATAACTCTTTGCCACCTGATTGGAGTGTGTGTGTGGGGAGGGGGAGGTGGGAAAAGTGTGGGGGGGAGAAGCTTTCAGTGTAATTTATTGATTGGATTTCATATGCTAATTTGTTTTTTTAAAAATCAGACAAATAATCTGCAATTCCATGTGTGTTGATGTCCTAGTACCCTTGGTTGGTATTTGCTGCACTGATTACATACATACATACATACATACATACATACATACATACATACATACATACATACATACATACATACATACATACATACATACATCTTCATGGTAGTCATGTCAACATTTTAACAATTGTGCATTCACCAAATGCTATATAGAAGTGGTGCCAATATGCAAAGTTCTTAAAAAATATTCATATATACTGTATTTATAGTCATATTTAAAAGCATGGAAGGTGATGGTGTTGGGATTGGAGGAAAAGTAGAAAAGGTTAGGCCTTCTCACCTGAATGAATCCCTGCTAGCCTCGTGGCTATTGTCATGAATGTAGCAAACCTTCTGGGCCACAACATCCAACTGGCTGTAGCGGGAAATGGGCACGCCGGGATAATTGATGTACTCAATCTGACCATGCACAGGTGGCACAGAAATGGCATACAGCAGCTTCTCGGGTTTGCCAGTGCCATCTGTTGCCATAAGAACATCTGTCGTCAAGGTCACCCTGTCACCCTCTGTTAAAGTTACAGGTTTGGTGAATAGAACAATGTCACCTAAAATAAAGGAGGGGGGAAGGGGGGAAGAAAGAAAAGGAAAAGATCACACAGAGGAAAAAGGGTGTATGCTGGGATGGGGCCGGCGGTGTGAACTTGCTACTTTCATGTTGCATAGAAGAAACCGGCTTGGGATAGGGGGAGGTTAATTAAAAAAAAAACAGCACAGAATGGCATGTGCAAAAGAACGAGATACTGAGGAGGGAGGGAGGAAGCTAGGTCTGAGAGAGACTCTGTGCTGAAGCATTTTATAGGGATTAACAAAAGCAACTTTTCCCAAATGAGCCTGAGAAAGTATTCCTTTCATACCTGTAATCTCTGTAATAACCAACGGGCATTGGACAAAGTCTTTGCTCCCCTCATACGTGAGTTATTTGGGCAGAGATGTAACTTGGTATTAGCACTGCTCCTTTGAAAGTCCATATTGTAGGAAGCATGTGCATATATATACACCCATGTTGGCAAACACAGCAATATATACAAGTGCGCACAGGGAAGGGGTGCAATTAACATAAATATGCAGGTATAGGCATAATTTAGCCATGCATTCCCTCTACCCCTGAGGAATTATTCTGAACTGGTTCTTTGTTGAAAGTGACCCACTTGTATACAAAGAACAATTAAGTTAATAGGTCCACATGGACTAACAGACAAAATGCCCTAATGTACTAAGCACACCATGGCGCTTTAAGCTGATGGGGTTATATGATGCTGTAACCTTGCCAAGGGTGATTCTCCTGTTACTAGATTTGTTGCAGTCCCCCCTCCCTCAGACATATTTTAATATCTCAGTACAGAAATTGGTGGACAAAATGCAGATAACAGATCCAGACTGAGCTAGTTTCATTTACATACATACATACATACATACATACATACATACATACATACATACATACATACATACATACATACATACATACATACATACATACATCTTCATGGTAGTCATGTCAACATTTTAACAATTGTGCATTCACCAAATGCTATATAGAAGTGGTGCCAATATGCAAAGTTCTTAAAAAATATTCATATATACTGTATTTATAGTCATATTTAAAAGCATGGAAGGTGATGGTGTTGGGATTTGAGGAAAAGTAGAAAAGGTTAGGCCTTCTCACCTGAATGAATCCCTGCTAGCCTCGTGGCTATTGTCATGAATGTAGCAAACCTTCTGGGCCACAACATCCAACTGGCTGTAGCGGGAAATGGGCACGCCGGGATAATTGATGTACTCAATCTGACCATGCACAGGTGGCACAGAAATGGCATACAGCAGCTTCTCGGGTTTGCCAGTGCCATCTGTTGCCATAAGAACATCTGTCGTCAAGGTCACCCTGTCACCCTCTGTTAAAGTTACAGGTTTGGTGAATAGAACAATGTCACCTAAAATAAAGGAGGGGGGAAGGGGGGAAGAAAGAAAAGGAAAAGATCACACAGAGGAAAAAGGGTGTATGCTGGGATGGGGCCGGCGGTGTGAACTTGCTACTTTCATGTTGCATAGAAGAAACCGGCTTGGGATAGGGGGAGGTTAATTAAAAAAAACAGCACAGAATGGCATGTGCAAAAGAACGAGATACTGAGGAGGGAGGGAGGAAGCTAGGTCTGAGAGAGACTCTGTGCTGAAGCATTTTATAGGGATTAACAAAAGCAACTTTTCCCTAAAAAAAACAGCACAGAATGGCATGTGCAAAAGAACGAGATACTGAGGAGGGAGGGAGGAAGCTAGGTCTGAGAGAGACTCTGTGCTGAAGCATTTTATAGGGATTAACAAAAGCAACTTTTCCCAAATGAGCCTGAGAAAGTATTCCTTTCATACCTGTAATCTCTGTAATAACCAACGGGCATTGGACAAAGTCTTTGCTCCCCTCATACGTGAGTTATTTGGGCAGAGATGTAACTTGGTATTAGCACTGCTCCTTTGAAAGTCCATATTGTAGGAAGCATGTGCATATATATACACCCATGTTGGCAAACACAGCAATATATACAAGTGCGCACAGGGAAGGGGTGCAATTAACATAAACATGCAGGTATAGGCATAATTTAGCCATGCATTCCCTCTACCCCTGAGGAATTATTCTGAACTGGTTCTTTGTTGAAAGTGACCCACTTGTATACAAAGAACAATTAAGTTAATAGGTCCACATGGACTAACAGACAAAATGCCCTAATGTACTAAGCACACCATGGCGCTTTAAGCTGATGGGGTTATATGATGCTGTAACCTTGCCAAGGGTGATTCTCCTGTTACTAGATTTGTTGCAGTCCCCCCTCCCTCAGACATATTTTAATATCTCAGTACAGAAATTGGTGGACAAAATGCAGATAACAGATCCAGACTGAGCTAGTTTCATTTGGCTTGTGTTCTCCTTTTCCACCTTCTTGGCAACCATGCTCCCTTATTTCCTTTAACCATAATTTCATATTTTGAAAATGCACCATCTCTGAACATCAGAGTGACACTGTCTGCTTAACCAGAACATAAAGGTCAAAAATAAAAATGATAGTGGTGGACCTAAATTTGTACTAATCCACCCAACATACATATAAATTGGGGGAGGGGGGAAGAACAGTTACGGAAATTCCTTCTTTCATTTCTTGTCTTCTGTATTTCTCTTTCTCTTCCCCCCAAAGCAGATAACTCAAGGTCAAACTAAATGCTAAGGGGGTTCCTTATTTCTACCTATGAGCACAGTTCTCTGTAATTTTGTGCCTAACCAGAGTTTCGCAAATTAAGCTTGTGCCTACAGTATATCATGGTGACCAACTACAAAATAAAGCAAGCAGATTCACAGGATACAGAAGTGAGAAAAGCTTGTGCTCGAAGAAATGAGCTGACACCCTCACCACTTATGAAAGAACCACTTCTAAATAGCAAGTAAGTGTATCATATAGTTTGGCCGTTGGTTTCTGTTCATTTCTACTGTATGAACCAGGTATAAAGAAAGAATTTAGAGTAAGTAAGTATACACTCTCTTTTATTTTTCAAGCCCTCCCAATCACTTACTATACAGGTGAAAATGAAGAATAGCTGAATATCTTGTTTGGGCCAGAAATTGGGCTTTCTTGAAGACTGTCAGAGTAATACTGTTACATCTACAACTAGAAATAATGTGAATGGTTGTATTTAAAAATCAATTAGTAGGTGTGAGAGCCTTAATATGGATCAGAAGGAAAAGGTGTGTGGGTGTCTAAGGATTTAATTCTTTGCACTCTGCTTTGGTCCTATTTTGGAGCAGCCACTCAGCACTCATACACAATGGAGGAAAGGCATGATTACTCTTTTGGACTACAACAGTCAGAACCCCCCTGCTGCAGTCCAAAGCACACCTATACAGTGATGCCTCGCTTAACGATGATAATCCGTTCCAGGAAAATCACCGTTAAACAAAAACATCATAAAGCGAAATAAAAAACCCCATTGAAACGCTTTGAAACCCGCTCAATGTGTTCCAATGGGGTAAAAACTCACCATCCAGTGAAGATCCTCCATACGGCAGCCATTTTCGCTGCCTGTATAGCGAGGAATCCGTCCCTAAACACAGCGGGGAGGCATTTTAGTTACCCGGTGGCCATTTTGAAACCGCGGATCAACTGTTAGAAAAACATCGTTTTGCGAAGATCGGTTCCCAGAGCAGGGAACTGATCATCACAAAGCGAAATTCCCCCATTTAGACTATCGTTTTGCGATCGCAATTGTGATCACAAAAAGATTGTCATAAAGCAGATTTGTTGTAATGTGGGGCAATCGTAAAGCGAGGCACCACTGTATTTTAGATTTCACCAGCCTCATTAAGAAGTCTCAGAGCAAGGTGGTAATGCTAGTGTCAGGGTCCGTTTCCATTCTGGAAAGCATCCCAGAACCAAAGACACTCAGGAATGGTAGAGATGGTAACTGAGGCCTGTGAGGATCTTCCTTAAATGCCAGGAAGACAGGCAGAAAACAACAGAATGGCCACATACGCCAGATTTTATCTCTTCATATCTACTGGACAATCTATATGGCATAGACAGCTCTGTCCCCACAGAGCTTAACAAAAATTCAGCAGGACTACTCCAGAGTGAATTGCACTCTACAACTGTGGTTCTCTTTGAGATATTTTACAATTTTTTTAAAAAAAACGGGGAGAGGTTAATGGTCATATACAGGAGAAAAATGGAATTGGGTTAACAGGAAAATGTGAACACCTGCAGGCTTAAACCCACTGTTTATGGGCAGATTCCTCATTTTATTTGGTTTGCTGAAGGAGCTGAACAGGGAGATTTCATGTGTTGGCTCCAAATGTGGACGTCTGTCTGCAATCTGGATTTAAAATTACTACAGGTGCTGGCCACTTGCAGAAAAATAGAAGTGTGCATGGGATATGTGTGTATGTTTCTGTCTCAGTATACAGTACTAGGATAATCTATTGTAAAGTGCCTTGAGCATCATTCAGTGAAAAGGAAGGAGAAGTCTCTTAAACAAGCTGGCCAGCCTGCCGACACACAAAGTATGTACAAAGACTCTTGGTGGTCAGGAGAAAATGGCAGGGCCTGAAAGTCAGATTCCCCCATGTTGGTTACTTAAGGAAGTGGACTTAGAATGCGCGACATCCTCATATGTCAAGACACAAGCAAACACGTATTGAAAAAAATGTTGCTATTTGCTAAAAGGAATTATGTTAAACAAGTGGAGTTCTTGGCCTGGCATTAACTACGTGATCCCAGCTCGAAAGGATTATGAACATGCTCCTCCCACTGACACTTCCCCCCCCCCAAATAATACCCACTATTTGCCTTAGTGTCTCATATTATTGTTTCATTAACTACAGAGGGCAAAGTGGAAATACTCTTAAGCATATGCACTTACCACTCCTCCTATCGAAAGAAGAAGGAATCCCAGTGTTCAATGACTATTTAGTTGGTGTTGAGATAGGTGAAACAAGCAGTGAGGCTGACACAGAGGGCTTTTCCTTCTAAAATGAATAAGAAACTCTCCCTTATGTATCAAAGCCTAAAACTTTGATACAGGTCCTTCTCAAATAGGACGCTCAGGGCCAAGTGTTATATCTAAGAAGCACAGAGCTGGGCTGTACAAAGGCTAACAATCCCTTTGAAAGCTTCCATAAAGGTGGGAATAAATAGGAGTAAGCAGTGTAATCCTGAGCAGCAAATTCTAGATCAACTCTTCTGAACTCAAGCTCTTCCCAGTTTAGCAATACTGGGAATTACTCATGCCTCTCCTTCCCCTGGTGTAGCATTGTGCCAGCATTGTTGCTATTTCTCTTGGCTGGATGAGTTTTAGATCTGGCATGGTGTGTCCCCCTTCCTTATTCTTGCTGGTGTTTTATTTACAACCTCAAATGCTATCTATATTTTAAGTGAGTGGGAGAGACTTTTCTGGTTTGATAGTGCTATCTATCCAGTACTAATTGTTCCTTCCAACTTTTGCAATTCAAAGAAAGTCTCGCCTCTCTGCTGAGTGTCTTGTCCCTCTCTTTCGCAGTTGGTGGTAGTTGTTTGTTGCTGTTAAGTTGTTTGGTTGCTACTATATGTGCAGTAAAGGACACAGTATACACAACTCTGCGAATTCAATCAACTGTTACATAAAGAAACACTTCTTTATTCTTTCTCCTACTAATGTCTCATAGTGTGTTACTGAGACGTTAAGTGCCAATTAATGAGAAATGGGTGGAGCCTGAGGAACTTCTAGTTATTCTCCTCTGTGAATCGCTGTAATTCTACTGTGTAGCAAAAAGACTACTTTACCAGAAATTCAAACACTCTGCAACAATTCTACCCCTTCCTTGCCCCTTTGCCAGCAGGCCTTAGCTAGCAAATTAGTTCTGTGGCCAATTCCTTCTGCCAGCAGATTCCTCAGATTTGTCAGCAGAATGCTCTTCTGCCGACTGACCTCAGGAATCAGCTTGTCAAGAGAAGGTTCTGTTAACTCCAGGTCATTTCTGCCAACCAAAGAGGCTTTCTTCATGTCCCTAATCTGCCACCTTTGAGTTGGATCGCACAGTAAGTCTAGAGTAGAAAGTACTGTGTACACATCATTGTGAGAAGCATACATACATGCATCTATGCACACACTTGCAGAGTGGTAGCTTCGCTGTAGATGATTTTTATATTTTTCTAAAATGCAGGAAATACCCAGATGATTGTTTAGGATTAATAGATTATCAAAAGTGCCAGTTGGCACTCTCCTGGATTTCTATTTTAAATCCCTATAATAAATGCAGCTGTTTACTAATAAATAAAGCCTCAGCTGTAAGAGAAATAAATTAGATGTATTTAATTGGTTGATTGCAAGCCTCCCCTCTTTATTATAATACTGCTCCTTGTTATTTTATGATGTCAGGGTAACGTGGCAGATTGACAGTGTGTTTATGAATCACAGTTTACAGATGGCATCTCTGTTTTCTTCAGCAGTTACGAGCACAAGTCACAGGAGGACTCAATAGAGGGTTTTCGCCAAAGAAGACCCCAAGAGATTTAGCCGCTTCCATTTCTCTTATGCCAATCTTCTTCCTGACAGGAGCACTATTTCACAAAAACCTATGTTCAATAAATAACAGCCACCTGGCACAACTTGAGAAATATTTAACACTCCGGGGACTCCTGTGTGTCTCCATGTGATTTCTATTCATTTTCAAAAGAACTCAGCAACAATGCTTGGAACAGGCCTCACAGTTTCTCTCATGCAATATTGTCAGCTTTTCTCCCTCCCTCCCTTGTCACCAGCTAGAAGAGTGAGGGGAGTCCATTTGGCTCCTTATACCTCTTTCCCTCATCTACAGAAGGTCTTTAAGATCTTCTAAGGATGTAACTTATCAGGAAGCCTTGACCTCCAAGAGCTATGAACACTCCTGACAGCTTCTAAATTCAATGGGGAGATAATCCTGGTTCTTTTCACAGAAGAAGGTTTTGGAACTGAACTGTTCCCTTTTGGTCACTAGTCATGAACAGACCCAAGGGATTGCTGTCATAATAGGCAACAGATTTGTAAAGTTGTGTAATTAGTTATGCACATAATGGATGGGATTCTAATTAGCTTGTTCATCAGAACAGTGGAAAGACATGGTATCCTTTAGAGACTGCTGAAGTACAAACTTCACCCATGCATTTAAAAACACATCAGTGTCACATAAGGAGATGCAGGGGTAATCTTCTCCCCCCCCCCTCCATCATTTCCTACCTTTCTCCATGCTTTTAATGAAGATATAGAAGCTTTCTGGTGGAGAGCTGTTCTGTCCATCTGTCACATAAAACCGGAAGCTATCATGACTTTCTGAAGCCAAAATGTTAGTATGGAAATACCAAAGGCAGTTCATGTCCACATTGTCTTGCGTGAAATTCATTCCAGGATGCAGGGTGTGCCAAGATGATCCACTCTGGAAAACATGAAGGAATGGGTAGATGGAGGCAAAAACATGTGCAATGGATGCTCATTTTCATGTGTCACTTTAAACCAATACCTTAAAATACTGAGAAAGGACTAATGACTCCAGCTATGAAAAATGGGAAGGCAATGGCAGAATACGGAATTGTGAAAGGTCCATCTACAATGTATCCTGGCTGAAACCTGTGGTATGGAGGGAGAGTGAAGAAGCCACCTCAGATGGCAGATTGTGGACCCCATACAAAGGCAGTAAATTGTATTTACTTCATTATTACTGTAACAAAGGTATTGACTTTGTCATTACAAGTGGGGGGGGGTCATCTTATACGCCAGGTGCACTTCAGTTGGGATAGACATAGCTGCCCATAGTGGCCTTCCGATGCTCACCCACCTCATTCTACAGTATTGCGCGGTATCCAGGGGCTTCCCCCACCCGAACTGACGAAAACCCCAACAGCCCAGACTGGGTATATCCGTGCGCCCCCGACAGGCAGCCCACACAGGCATGGAACTCCCCCCACTCTCAGCCAGGGACTCCCCAGCACGGATGGGAAAGGCAAGGCTGCCGGGGCCTCCGGCTACCGTCTTTGGGAATCTTCCCTGCACCCGCCGAGAGAAGACGGCCAGACGTGGGTAGGCTGGCCCACGAATGCAGGCTGTGCCGTCTGGGAAGAGTGTCCCTGATGCTCCTCCCCACCCCTGGGCCTGCCGCCGAAACCAATGCAAGCCTCCTGGGGTTGCTCAGGTGCATTCGCCCCAGCCAATCTGCCCCGCCGCGGCAACGTCCGCCCCTCCCAGCTTCCGAGCCCTCATCGGGTGAATCTCTGGCTGCTGTGACTGAGGGTGGAGGATCTTATGAAAAGCAGGGTTACCCTGTTGGTCTGCCCTGCCGCCACCTATCTGTGTCCTTTAAGACCTTCCCCCCCCACCTCAGGTAAGCCCTACCGTCGCTTGGGCCCCAATCCGTGGCACGCCTCGCTATGGGGGGAGGGGGGTAAAAGGCAGAGGGAGAGGTAGTCTTATACAGCGAGTATATAACAAACTCTATATTTTGAGTGGAAATGTTGGGGTTGTCTTATACGCCGGCAAATACGGTACATACAAATGGTATGAAAGGAACCATGCTTTGTAGATGTTTGTGGCTTTTATAGTGCTCTACATGGCAAATATAAAATGTGCAAAGCAGACAATTTAAAAAGTGGAAGAAATTATTTAAGCAAAATAATTTGAGACACTTTGGGGCAGCAGCATTTAGACAGTTTAATGAACAAAGTATATGATTCTCACATAAAAGTTAAAAAAAATCTTGTTCTTCCTTCAGGTGTAGCGAGGCCCCACAGATATGTATATAATGTCCTAACATGTTCCAAATGAGTTTGAAGAGTGTTTATAGAAAGGGGGAAATGTCACTCTTGTAACAGTCTTAAGATTTACAATTAAATTGAGGTTTTGTGGAGAACCAGCTTGGTTGCTTGAGCTTCCTGGTCTCCTCTCTCCTCTTCTTAGTTAGCAAGTGTAGCAACCCCAGACCTACTGGAGTATCCCACCCTGTAGTTATGCTGCCACCAACCATTCGCTCTCCCAAGTCACCCAGACCAGGAATGGATTTTAATAAACAAGAGAACAAGGTTTATTGAAAAAACAAACAGGGTAAATAAAAGGATCAGGTAAATAGGATACTGGAACTTGGTATAGTCCCAATCATACACATACAACAGATTGGTTCCCACGGAACACTTTAAGGTAACGCACAGACCCTGAACCTATCCGTTCTGGCTACCTAGATAGAAACCTGAACCTATCAGGTATGTACTATCTGACGAACAGTTGTACCCAGTCTGACCCACAGACTCCAACTCCACTTCTCCACGTCAGCTCTCTTACGAAGGACTTCCCCCAAATATATACAGTACAGCTCCTCCCCCCTGATGTCCCGCCTTCCACTCCCCATAGGATGGAACTTTCCCTCCAAACCCATGACAGACAGGTACCATCAGTGCGGTATGTGACAGCAAGAAAGGAGAGATGAGTAAGAAATGTGTTGGGTTTCCATTTTTCAGTTTGTACATGCTAGAAATAAGAGTAGAGTCAGATGTTATTTGCACTTAGAAATCTGTGATTTTCTAACCCTGCAATGCATTTTGCAAAACAAAAAAAAAATGTGTTTTCATATTTGAAAAAGATTGACCTTATAAGAAACGTAAACAAAAATAAGTGCATATTTCAAGAGTGGGGGTTGTGGAAGCTCACAATCCAATATAGAACTGGGACAGCATTAACCTAGCATTGGAAAACAGAAGCAGCCGAAGAAGATCAAACTTGATAGAGCCATAGACCTCTATAGAGAAGGTTTAAAGCATCAATATTTCAGTTTTAAACTATGATTCTATTTAATAGCCAAACTGTGGTTTCAGATCCAGGTTTGTTCTAAAAGTGTAGTTTAGCCAACAATGTTGGAAAAACCAATTCAAAGTGTAGAGGTCTCAAGGAATAATGCCTGATTTACAATTAGACATGGATCTTTTATAACCAAACAAGACAGTGAACTTAATATCTCATCAGAAGAGGAGCCTCTCATCTTAAGAGGCTAAAGCTTAGCAAGAGGCTGCCTCATTCCCCATGCTGAAAATAGCTTCCTTTAGTTTTGTAATTGGTCACTGAAAGGCTTCATTTGCAAGTTTGACTGCTTAGGCTTAGAGCTTTGAAGAAACTGTGGGCCTGAAAGGAAAACAGGATAATATCAAGAAATATACATTTCTTTTAATGTATGATTTGATCCTTGGTATCCTCAAGGGGAGGGTGCATGAGTCAGAGACTCATTCATGACTTCTCATTATGTCTGAATGGTGTCGCTGTGAACAGACATAAATAGCAATCTACCTGTCAAAATTTGACACAATTTCTGTTCATTTAAAATGGGTAGTAGAAGACCCTTCAAAGCCTCATTCATAAGAAACTCTTATTCTTTCATTTTATTTATGCAGACAAATAGGAATGATGGAGAAGCTGGAAGCTCATTTCCTTTGGCTTCATGGATCATATTTAATCCTGACACAGCCCAAGTATTCAAAATTATAAATATACCTCACTACAGTGATCATTTCCTTCCTTTTACTAAATTAGTAGATTTCAACACTAGAGTTGATGATTTTTTTTACTGGATGGACAATTTAAACTGCACACATTTAAAACAAGCACAACAACAAGTACAGAAAATACATCCTGTCATTGCCAAAGAATCTATGAGGATATTCTAGGTTCATTTACTAGGGATCACAACAAGTATAACAAGTAGCACACAGTATGCTAGCTCAACTCAGAACAAAACATTTTTGGCAGCACTAGCATTTTCCATTTTCGGATCCTTTGGCTACCCACTGCACCCAAGTTAAGACCACCATCATCTGAACAGCTGAAAGAGTGGAAGTGAACATTTCTATTGAACAAAAAGAAAAAAACCCACATGCTGTAGCCAATGGAAATGTTTCTCTATTTTGAACTTGGTTCCAAATTTCCTTACGTTCTACGGATGCCAAAAAGCTGGAAGTCCACTTTAAAAAGTCTCTCTCTCGCTTTCCATTTATATGAGTAGATTATGTGAAACTCGTTATATTTTATGGTTTTGCACAAAAATCTTCGTTTCCTACTAATATTATGCAATGACATAATGCCATTTGTAGAGGTGTCACATAAAGGGATTGACTTTTACGGGCTTCTTGATGGCAAGACTATCCACTTTATATTCTGTTTTATGTAAGCATTCTCAAAATTTATTGGTCCCTGCAGATCTCTCAAGTTACTTAATTATAAAAGGAAGATTATAGCTCAGTGGTTTAGCAAACCAATATAAAAGTCAGTTAAGATGTTTTGGTGTAGCTGCAGAAAGCTGACTGAAAGAGCCATGGAAAACCTTGATACCAACATGTGAGATCTTTTTGAAAAAAGAGTTGAAAGGGACTTGGTGGGGATGAGAGGGAGACCCACTGCCCAGTCATTCCTTCTCATTTACCCTATCCATTTCTTCATTCCTTTCATTTCCCTTTTCCTCTCTTCTTATCTCTCACTCTCTCCCTTTTCTCTTTCTCTCTTTGCACCACTTCACCTCTTCCTCCTCTTTCCTCTGTTTCCCTCTTTCTTTTTCTTCCCCCTTTCTCTTCTCCCCAGTTACTTCAACACCTTTAACCTGTACTTTAACAAGCAGGAAATTTGTTTTTTTGTTTAATTACCATTGCTTCAAAGGAAGCTTTTCTCAAAATATTTTGCTATGAGTGTGTGGGTATATGTAGGAGGCTTAGGGATCACAGTACGGAAGTGGGAGGCTTAACCCTTCCATCCACAACTGTCCAACCTTTCCCCCTAAATTGCTCCGTGGCAGTTAAGCTCTTTCAAAAACTTTCACTGATACCAGTGCAAGCCTTTTTAAAAGAAATCCAACAACACTGGATTGTTGCACAGGATCATGCACTGAGGAAAGGAAGCCATGGATCAGATGAAGCAGCCCTCTAGACTTGCTTTTTCTCATCCACGAGCTACAACCACATAGAAGATGCTTTGCTTGCTATGCAATGGATGACCTCGTGGTCTGTGTTTTTCATATATTGCATTGCAAACACTCTGCTGTTATAATCATTGATATACATAAACAGGGCACCCAACATCTATCAGAAATGGGGAATGAATAACAGGGGTCAGAGCATATTTAGTGAAGCAGCTTTAGAATGTACCTTTATTTTTAGGTGTCCCCATTTCGGCTTGTTGTTGATGACATAATGGAGCTGATTCCTTGAAGAATCTGTATCTTCCACTTCTAATGACACACTGGAGATAACTTTATTCCCACCAGCTTCAACTTCTAAACCTGTGTTCCTGAGTTGTCAGGAAAGGGAAAAAGAAACTTTCAAACAACAGCATAAGCTGAATTTTGACCTCACATACAGTACTGACCTCATAGTTGTTTCTCTGGTTCCCCAGGAGGAAAAAAAACACACCTTAAACTAGAGGAGCTGTTTTCTATAACTTGAAATGTTCTTCCAGTTTCAATTATAAAAAGCACAAGTCCCCTCTCCTTAGGTTTGGAATGAAATGTGCATGCTGATTTTGACAGCACACATGTACAAAATGCAAACTTGTCTTTCTCCTTCTGTGCTTTTAAATTGTGGGTCCAGGAGAATCCTGCCCACGCATAAACCCAATACTGAACTTAGTCACAGTACTGTATAGGCATATAGAGGAGGAAGAGACAATGCACAGCTATTTCCTCTGGGTCTCTGTTTTGGCTCAGCTTTTCATCAGGTTGTCGGTTATTCTGTAATTGAAAATATTTTTTTTGCCTTCTTCCATCTTCGCTCCAAAATAAGAGACTTTTTTCCCCCATTGGCCTAGGCCATCATTAAGGAAGCATTGTTTAACAGAATGATAAATCTTCAGCATAAGCATAGTATATTAATTTAACAATATTTTGCATACAATAAACTGGAGTAGAGTCACTCCTATCCATTGTTTACCATCTTGTATGGTTATTAATAATCGAAGTCATAGCAATACAATATCCTCTACTTTGAGAGGGACAACTCTATTCTTTGCATTTAAATGTGTTTCCGTGCAAAGACACATAAATCCTGTTTACAAGAACAAGGAGATAATTTTTAACCACTTAGTGTATAATTTTTGGTGTGTGTGAGAGAGTGAGTGAGTGAGTGAGAGAGAGAGAGAGAGAAATCAACAAGTGCTCCCTATATCCCCATGTTAAATCACTCACTGCCAGCACTGTGGTGGAGCTAATGCAGCTTAACATACAGAAATGTTGTTCATATTTCTGTATCTACTTGAAAAAAAATGACCCTTCAGGATTCCAAAATTCAGTGTCTGGGTTAGGTGGATGCAAAAGAGCACACTGCTTTAGGGATATTCCATCAACTTTACATAAAATGGCTGCTCCCATTCCTACCCATCTTTCTAGCTTTCATTTCAATAGAAAACAAGTTCTTATCACGAATGAGTTACTTAATGGGATTCAGAGTATTATGGGGCTGTGGAGAGACAATCAGGTACAGCATTCTGACCCGTCCTGAGGATATCATAATTGCTTGATAATGAACCTGAGAGATTAGATAGATGAAACAACTAAGATGAATTCTTCCCATTTTCTTTGTTGATATATGCATATTTGTAAGAATGGAGAATGGGCTGGCTCAGGTTTAGCAACTAGAGCTTCAAGTTATTTGATGCTCCAACAAGAAGAGCTAGAAATAACCTTCAAACATGCTCTTCAGTTATGAGATCCCTTGTATTTGGGCTTTATCTCAGCAATAGAGATGATGTGATCTTGTTGCTGTATCAGCCTAATCAATATACTATATTTTTATTGTACAGAAATAATTAATTCAAAGATGTCATTGCATGGTAAGAGACAAGTATACAAAATTATATCAGAATTCTAGTGCTGGTGTTTGAGCACAAGATTTTTTGCCAGAGGAATTGTTTCATTAGCCCACTGCAGCAAAAACCAATTGGAGGGCTATTTCACTGCAAGCTCCATAAGAAAAGTATGTTCATGTAAAGTAAATTGGGAGGGACGTTTTGTGTGGCATATTTTAAAGGTTAATAGATTTATGATGGCATAAACTTGCATGGACTAGAACTGACTCTGTCAGAAGCATCTGATGAGATGGCTCTAATCCACAAAAACGTATGCCACAATAAATCTCCTGGGAACTGTGTCTCACATTTGAACAATTATATGCAACTATGGCAAAGTAATGGTATTTCTTCTCATTTTGAAATATTTTCAGCACTGTTATAGGAGCTGTACCCATGTTGTCAACAGCAAGGAAACAGAAAAGTAAGAAAATGAGAGTCAGCTCACAAAGGCTGTTCCTCTATTAACAGGACAAATAAAGAACTGAGTTATCGTGCTTCAAATATTAATAGGACATAAGATGAAGAGGCAAGTTTCCCAGAACACTTGATTGATTGACTTACTTGAATGCCTTCCAAAGATCTTGTGTCTATTTTGTACTCACACTACCCATTTATACTCTAGCAAGAGATTCATATTCTGTAACCATTTCAACAGGAGGATGATTACTCCAAAATGTACAATGATCCTGTGTGTTCAAATTTATTGTGGCAACCTCATTTTGATTTGCACTTGTGCCTTACCAACTTTCTCTTTAAGAGACACAACTTGTGGAGAATGTAAGGTTTGCTACTTGTGCCCCTTACAGAAGATTAATTAATTTCAGGATCCTTAAAAAAACAAGATTAGCATGTAATAATTTCAAAGAAATGAAGATAAAGAGAACTACAGTGGTTGAGAGCTAAGCAATGCATCGACAGTCTTGCCAATAAACCATTTATCAAGCATGTTAACAATTAAAGAGAAATAAAAATGCTTCCCCCCCATCTCTCCTAAAGTCACTTTGCATAGAATGTCACTTCAGCAGCTAACCTGGAAAGATGAGGGATTTCATCGTTGACTGGCATGATGTAGATGTAAAGTGTCCCTTGGACTGTGTGCTTGCCATCTGTCAGCTGAATGGTGAAACTATCCTCTAGGCTTTCTGTGTCATCATGCATGTACATAAGCATCAGGCCTGTTGGAGAAAGAATCATAGACAACTGAGTACTTTGACTGCAGTAGCAGAGCCAAATCCTAAAGGCAATCAATGTCGAAATGAAATTTGGGCTATCAGAATCACACAAAGTCTTAAGAACAGAGCAAGTTATCTGGGAGCTTCCACTAACGCTCTCTCATTAAATAAAACAATCAGAATAGAATACTACTTTCAAAGTAACCATCAGTGAATGTGATCGTTTAAAACAGCCAAGACTCACAAAACGTTACCAAATGATATTTCTCAGGTACCAAGCATTATGAAGTCCCATTTTATGCCTTAACTGGGAGACAGCTCAAATGATCTGAGTTCTAAGAAGGATAAAACTAATTGCAGTGATGACCTACCAATTTCAGTGTAAATGAATTCATTAGAAAAATTAACCCAATCAGTTTGCAGAGGAACCCTCAACCATATCATAAGATATGAGAGAAAAGCATACAATACACAAAGGAAACATATAAAATAAATGCATTATATGAAATATATAATATATGCAGTGCTATGTATACCCTTGGATTCTTCCCTTTCTCTCTCTAGCCCTATGAAATTGTTATTAAAGCAGGTAGACGTATCAGAGGTAGAGAGGAGTATTTTAACCCTCTCTCCTGCTTCCACATTAATCATTCTCCTACGTAGAGAGAATGAGTCTAAGGATAATTGTGCAGGATTTCTTTAGGTTTACCACAATTACCTTCTACGAGTAGGAGGCTGATGGCACCAGGAACAAAGGGGACGGGCAAATCTACACAGCTTCCTCTACCCAAGGTAAATGTATCTGCTTTAATAACAATTATATGAGGCTTCTTTCTTTCTGTTATTTAAAAACCAACAACAGAAAATTCAAAGAAGATTCCTTAGGTAAAGGTAAAGGATCCCCTTGACATTTAATCCAGTCGTGTCTGACTCTAGGGGGCAGTGCTCATCCCCATTTCCAAGCCATAGAGCCAGCTTTTGTCCATAGACAGTTTCCGTGGTCACATGGCCAGCGCGACTAGAAATGGAACACCGTTAGCTTCCCACTGTGGTGGTACCTATTTATCTATTCGCATTTTTACATGTGTTCAAACTGCTAGGTTGGCAGGAGCTGGGATAAGCAACAGGGGCTCACTCCGTCATATGGATTCGATCTTATGACTGCTGGTCTTCCAACCTTGCAGCACAGAGGCTTCTGTGGTTTAACCTGCAGTGCCACCACATCCCTTTTGAAGTGTCCTTAGAAATGGAAAACTTCATATTTTTAAAAAAACATTAGTTAAAAAGAAGCAAACAAACAAACCTCAGAATTGTTATAATCCACCCAAGATACCTTTTCATAGGAAGTTTAGGAGTAGAGTTCTTTTCAGCTGCAAGCTATCATAAGTTATTCATGTATTCGTTCCCATTTTTAATAAGTAGAGAGAGACACAGAGCAAGAATTTGTTGTGCTTTTACAGAGAATAAAAATGCAATGAATGTTGCAAATACACTTCTCAAATGAAGGAAAAACAAAAACAAATCAGCAGTTCAAATTATAGAATAAAAGAATGCTCAGATACTCAAGAGCTCATAACCAGGGTCCTGCTCTCCATAAATGATCTTTGTCCATTCCACCATTAGCTGCATGTTAAAAACCAGTTTAGATTTAACCAAGTGTGATTTTTCAGGTCACATATGTGTATTTTAGGAACATTAAAAGACTTGTATGTGTTTTAATAAATATGATTAATAAGCCCAAATATTTATGGGAAATAAATATTTATTTAGAAAACTGCTAGCTTGATTCTGCCAGCCTCTTCTCTGCCAAATTTCTGGCATGCAGTTATCAGACTCATTAGAAAGGGTCACAGTTCGAAATTTGCAGTTTTATAGTTTAATTTATTTATTTGAATATTTAAATGTCTTTAAACATATCCAATTAGTTGTGCAAACAACATGAACATAATGAGTTGCCAGGATATGAATAGGTAGCCTGTAAACAGCAAAATAAAATAATTGCATGCTGTCAGCTTGATTTTAAATTATAGCAACCTTTCTAAGGCTTTTCTAGGTATAAAGTACTAAGTTAATTACCAGTTCTTTCTTCCGAGGGCACTCTGAGACCTTGTAACTTGCCCAAGTAGGTACACATAGGCAGGCTTGTCTCCCACAAGGCCAAGAGGGGAATCAAATTCCCTACCCCTTGGTCCACAGCTAGGTGTCTCAGTTGTTTAGAACCGGTTAAGTGTTGAGGGAATGAACATTTGGGGCTTATTTATTTTTTCGTATTGATTCAGTTTCAACTCCGGGTGCAGTGAGGTGAGATTAGGGTTAGAAAGAAAGTGAAAGGCTTTTAACGGAAAAGGTAATGACTTAAATTCACATAGTCATAGAACAGAATAGAATTGTGAGTGAAACTGAAAAACTTTAATGTTTAAGCAGACATTCAATGTATCCATCAGAAAGTTTACTTCTGGATAGGAAAAATTAGCCAGTTGCACACTGTTCTCAAGGGGATGCCCAAGTGTACTCGCTATGCTTTCCACTCTTCAGAGAGGCCCCTTCTATGTTCCCCACAGAATCGTAACTCTAACCCAGCATATAGAAGATGGTTTTGGAAGACATCAAATCACTGGAACAGCATTTGTCAACTTTACAGCAGCATACAATGTTATCCATCATCAATTGTTGCTCTTAAAGCTCTACCTCCTTACTAAAGACTACTGTGTGGACTAACAGAAATGGCCAGAGTTATACTTCAGAACTGAAGATACTTTATTAAATTTCAAGGGAGGCACAGCTGCTGGATAAATCAATAGAATGGTCCCAAAAGGGTAACATCCTGGCACCATTAAACATTTACAGAAATGATTGACAAACACTCCCATATTCCAAGAGTTTAATCTAAGTTGATGATTTTACCTTGACAGTCCAGGGTGAAATCTCTGAGGCTATCAAGCACCAGCTAACCTCAAAGACTAGAATTTCTTTGCTTATATTATAAAAATAACCAGCTGAAACCAAACCCCTTAAAAACATAGTTCTGTGCCTTCCACGAAGAACAGACAAGCAGAAAGGAAGTTCCAAGTTAGCTAGGAAGACAAAATTTTGGAACATCGTCCTATCCCAAGTATTTGGGTGTCACTCTGGAACTAACAAAAAACATTGTCTAAACACCAAAGAGAAATAACTCACTTAGGAAACTGGCTGGGTCAGACTGAGGTACACACCCACAGAAAATAAGAACAACACCTTTGTCCTTGTCAAACTCCATAGCAGAATATGCTAGTGCTGTGTGGTATAAATCAGCACATGCCAAACAAGTGGATGTAAGTCTTAATAAATCATGTTGACTGACTGGCTGAAACCTAACCCCAACTGAATAAGTCTATTATTTGGCTGGCGTTGTCCCTCTGGAAGCACATCAAGAGGTGCTAGCAAACAATGAATGGAATAAGGTAATACAATACCAAACCCATCCACTTCATGGAGACCAACCCCAGATGATAGCTAAAATCATGGGAAGGTTTTCTGCATGTATCTCAACAGTAAACCAGAAGAAGCTAGACTAAATCTACGGAGAGCAAAAATGACACACCTTGCCAAAACGATGAATGCAGATGAGTGTCTCCCACCAGGACAAGATTCTGGCTAGACTATCTGGAATTCACTTAATAGAATTTGAAACAAAGTAGGAAGATCAAAGCGTAATTAAATAAAATGTGACTTCTTGAATACACAACAAATTTTCTCTGAATCTGGAGAAATTCAATCAATGCAGCATTTATGTACATGCAACTTATGCCTCACCATGCGAACTAAAAGATATATAGTAAATGGCAAACATAGCGCTATTGAAGTAGTCCGTTTCTGGTCAAAAACAGCTTAATCATTTTAACATTTTACGTTTGTTTGAACTTTATATTTCACATACATCCATATTTTTAAAATGTGCAACATTTTGATAGGAAGGAAGGAAGGAAGGAAGGAAGGAAGGAAGGAAGGAAGGAAGGAAGGAAGGAAGGAAGGACACAAAACAGGATTTTAAAGAAGGGCATTAATAAATAGGCCAGAATCCTATCAGTTATATCTGGCAGAGTGAGTGTCATGGCCTAAACTGTGACAATCCATTTCTGGTAGTTAATGAGTTGCCCCATGTATTCTTTGTTGCACTCCAGCCTCATCATTTAGAGCTGCCAAATTCAGTCTGTCTAGTCATGGTGATACCCACTCTTGAGTCAGAGAAAAAGAAGAAAATGCTTTGTGCCATTACAAAAGACAGTTTGAGTACAACCAGGAAACTGGGTGAAGAAACTCAATAAAATACTGAGGAGCATCTCAAGTACATTCAGACACCCTGTGGGTTTCTGGGACAATTCATACCCTACATACTCCCATGACTCACAATGAGAGCTAGTGCAGTACAGTGATGAAAAATCAGGGTAATGTAGAGTGTTATACAAGAATCATGGGTAACTGGGTTCAAATATTTTCTGAGCATCACAAAGCTTTGTGCATGATAAGGAAAGCCGATTCGCTGATTGCAGCACATGCTTCCCTCCTCCAATAGCTGCCCACTCAGACGAGAAGATGGGACAGGAAAGCCTGTAGCACTGCTTTTGAGTGGATGGCCCTTAAAGGAGGAGGGAATTGCACACTGCAATTGGTGAGTGGGCAGTAGCACTGAGTTGCTGGGGAAGGAAGTGCGCTTCAGCCAGGGAATGAGAGAGCACACAGATGAGGCAGGAGAGGGGAGTATGCAGTGCCCACACCTGTGCAAGGGCAGATCCCAAGTGGGTTAAACTACAGTTCATGCCCATCACTAGTTATGTTATATTCTCCTAAACTCCTTAAGAATGGTAGCATAGAAGTGTAATGAACATATAAAATGAAGTGCCAAAATTAGGTTCCAAATGGAGACAAGCACACATTCTTTTAACGAATTGCAAAATTCATCAAAAATTGCTAATTCATTGATTTGTATTCATAGGAATTGATACCCCCAATGAATATAAATTGAT